TCGTACACGCAGCGAGCCCGCAGACAGCATTTGCGCTCCGCGGTTTCTGGCGTCCCGATCCCGTGGGCGAGTCTAACCCCACGGGACACCCGGCGCGGTGGCACAAGCGGGGCCTCGCGCATCCAAAATTCACGTGGGGGTTTTGTAACCCTCTGCCCTCGCCGGGCAGCCGCACCGAGCGCGAAACACCGAGCGTCTCTCCCTTCTCGGGCACCCGCCAGCCTGCACCCCGCGGCGTTTGGAAACGGGGAGGAAGCAGCCAAACAACTGCCAGCCTTTGCCAAGCTTTGAAAAAAAACCCAAAAGGGCTAAAACCCTGAGCCAGGAGACCGCGACAGCAGCAAGCCACGCAGCCAGGACTGGACTATTGATTTCCAGATGGGAATGAGCTACCGTTTCTCCAGCTCTCAAACAGCCGGCCGAGCTGAACCCCGGAGAGACGCGCTCCCAGAGCGCGCAGAGGCTCTGGCAAACCGCTCGCCTATGTAATTAAAAAGGAAACAGAGCAAGAACGCCGCTGCAAAAGAGAAGCATGGAAAAGGCCAGAGCGGCACAAGATGTTTTCAAGTGAGAGGTATCGCTCCCCGTCTTCACGTGCAAGCCAGGCTGATGACACGTTTTCTGGAAGAGGCGGCCCAGAAAAAGGGGCTGGAACCAATTTCCGTGCTGTCCTGAAGAGGCGGAGGGCGAGACCGACTGCATCCAGCGTCCCGCAAGGACTTGCGGATCTGGACCAGATCTATTGCTAACGGACACACCACAAACAAGATCACAAGACAGGCTTTAAAATCGCATTAAAGGTTACTAAAAACAGCCCCCCAAGGGAGCGATTTGACAGGTAGTCTCCTGCGTTTGCAGTTTTTTAGGGTCACAACAGCATCAGCTCATTCTGCAGTGTGAAGCCCGTCTCCAATCTCCTGGAAACCATCCAAAGGCTAACAGCACGCATCTCAAGTTATCCCACCTGAGCCAGGCCACCACGCGTCAAACACCCCCGAAGAACAGAAAGACACTCCGAATTTAACAGTCCAGGACAGCCCTGGCCAAGCAACCAGCGAAAACGCGTCCGTCACAAGTGAAACGGCTTCCAGTGTTAAAACCGAGCAGGGAACCTTTAGCAAAAGTCTCCGTCTCAGAGCTGCAGCTCCCAATTCAGTAAAGCGCAGGTGATTAACCCTCTCCTCCTCCCACCTCTGCTCGCCGTTCCAGCTCTAGACAAGCGTACCACCTCGCAGATCTTGTGCGAGGTGCTGAACCCATATAATATGCCCTGAATTCCAGTAGCATTTACAGGCAACTTCTGCCTTGCAAAAAAATTGCTCTAGATAAATCACTGAACTGCCTGCAGGCTCTGGTAAGAAACTCAGTCTCCATGGAAATAAACTCAGCAGTTGAGGCTGAAAAATGCCTTCAACAATGACCTGCTCCGATGGCGTAGACTGAGGTCAGAGAACTTTTCCAGCCATTGCTGCCTAAAGCCCGGTTGCTTCTAGACGATGAGGAATTAAATTTCTCCTCTGTGACACGATATCCTAGCTAATGGCCTGCAAAGTCAATATGCTCACTTCATCTACAGGACCATTAAAAAAAAAAAAAAACTATCAAGCACAAAGCAGTAATGTTTTGTCCTACAAAAAGAGGTCTCTCCTTCAGGAAGGCACCAAAAATACAGAGCAGCTGTACAAAGTCCTCGCACAGCAGAGGCTGTCCGGCTGGGCACGCTCTCCGGCAGCCAGGGCCGCTGCCACCGCCACCCTCTCCTCTAGAGAGTCGTGAGTCCAAAACGCTTCCTTTCACCCCGTCCGCTGGGGTGAAGCCAGCCCCGAGGCTGGTCCTCACCGCAGCTGATGGGCTCAGATTGGTGCAGGGTAGCGGAGCGCTCTGTTGACCAGCCGGGTGACTCAGCTAAGCGCGCATGAAAGCTGTTTACACACGTCAGGATGCGCTGCAGAAGAGAGGCAGAGGAGAAGTTCATGACAGTGGGATATGCACCCCAGTCCAGTGGGGTTTTGGGTGAAAATGGCCAAGTTATGGGCAGCTCTCATGCTGACCATAACAACGTGGCTGCAGAAGCAAATGAACCGGCCAAGTGCCAGCTCCGTCAGGAGATCTTTGAAGCCAGGATCACCTCCTTTCCGAGAGGTGGACCTGTCCCCCCCGTGGTGTCCCAAAGCACCTGGGATGTGTCCTCTGGCTCTCAGACATGCAAAGGTCTCATCAGGTGACATGCACAGGCATTCCCGGTTCAAGGCGGAGGAGAGCTCTTGACGTTTCACCAATGCCCAGAGCAGATCCCTGCAAGGTGGCTGTTCTCGGGGGCCCTGGGAAACAACCCTGCTCCTCTCTACAGGCACCAGACAGGCTGTCAGGAGCGTGTGTTTATGGATGGATTCAGCTCTTCCTTCCTGCGGCTTGGCAGTTAGTAGAACAAGAGGTTTAATAAAGCAGAAGTGATTCCAATGGATTGTCCAATATCCAACAACCCTCTCCGGGCAACCTCTCCTACTGTTCCTTGTGCAGTGCAAACAGGAGTTTATTTTATTCTCCACAAAGGCAATAAAATGCACCTATTTACCAATTCTTTGGCCTTCTAGGACACCAGGGCGCACAAGAACAAAGGCGGCTGGAGAAAAACAAGCTGAGACACACAAACGCACACAAGCACGCACAAAGCTGGAGGTGGCTAGCAAGGCTCCGAACCTTGGCTTGGCGGCAGGAGCTAGAGCCCAGCTATCCCACAAGGCGAGGAAC